TGATCGGGGAATTGGCAACATATTCTCCATCGTCTATCCTCCGATTAGCGGACTATATTCAAGGAAAGTCTAAGGAATCAAAGGTAACATACGGATCATGATAGTCCAGACGTTGATGAACATGAAAAGTCCGATGTATGCGAACTTCTGAAGTGGGAAGATGAATGGGAAAATGTGGTATGGAACACTCTGGAGAAATCCATCAAGAGGGTGGAAAGCATGACTAGCGTATGGGGTAGGCATAATCCATTTGTGATGCGGCTTGTGGAGAGTCTTGTAAATGCGGGGGTGATGGAGACCGCGATGGATGAGGTAGATCCAGAAATCGGTAAACATCAAAAACAACGGGAACTGAAGCCACATGTAGGCTTTCCCATAATCCTCAACGTTCTGGTAAAGGTATGAATAACCCCTAACCTCAAAGGTGAAAAATGGCGCAGTAAAGATGGCCATGATAGGGATAGACCACATTGTTTGGTTGATTTCCTGGCGTATCTGGTTCTTGAGAAATTTCGGGTGCTTGAATGTGTCCTTATCGAAAATAAACACATATGACATTGTCGCAAATACGAAGTAGATGAAAAGTCCAAAAATCCTGCATATTTGATTAGCGATATGTTACGCCGTTGATGTTTCCGTTGATAAAGGGTGTAAATACCATGTAATCAACCCCAAAGACAGTGCCTGTCTTTCCCAATCACTCCGTTGCCATTGTGAAAGCAACGCGTATTTCGTGGGTTCGAACCCAAAGTATTCAGATACGATATCATTCTCTATCGGGGTGTTGAGCCTGGTGGCAGCGATGGCAGCAGCGCCAGCGAGATTTGTGGCATTGTTCTTCAATGTATCCAGTGAAATCCCGGAAGCTAATGGAAGAAGTGTGGCATAGAACCTGTCAAAGAACAGGTTATCGAAAACACTCAGGACGATATCCATGGCGACTGTATTGATCCGGCCAAACTAAAGAGTGTGTATTGTCGTCTCTTCGTATGAAGTGACCAACCAACCAAGGAGTGTTGGGGTGGTGTCGAGCAGATAGCGACAGACTACAAGTAATGGTGTAGTAACTGTTGAAGTTGCAACGAACGAATGTGCAGGTAGAGGAGAATCAAGCACCCAACGCGGCAGCACCAGATCTTTAATAGAAACGAGAAAAGGAGGGAGAACTGGATACCAACTAGCCAATTGACCAATCACTTTACACGTGCAGGGGGGGGGTGAGGGAAAAAAAAGACATTCAGATTGAGATTGATTGATAAGATGAACAGTGCACAGATGGGGGAACAAAACCAGCCACTGTACGTATCTATCCTGCTGTCTGGCGTCACAGAAAGCTCTGGTAAAATGGCAAAAGGGGAAAATCTAACATGACCGGATGAAGCTTTCCCGCCAACTCGACCCATACACCGAAATTGTGCATAATTCCCAACGCTGAATGTCCCCAACACAGAAAATCACCCGCCAGAAAGAGCAAAAACAAAAAACGATCTCAGACCAGACCCCTGAAGGCTTTTCAGGGTTTCAGGGCCCTTGGTGGCTCTTGGCGGATGTTCTATCACACCATTATCTCCACCTTCGGATCACTCCAATGCCGGGACCCATGGAGGAATGGCCCTGCCTTACACACGACAGACCCCATTCGCTGCGAACACGAATAAGAACGCACGCCCAACATGGTGTGTGTGAGAAAAAAAGCTTTGGTCAAAGATTCTGGAACGTTTTGTGCCGGGAAAGGTTCTTCTTCTTTTGATCGTCAGTGGCGCTTCTATCGCGCTAGGTTACGCGGCAATTCCCGTCAAGCGACGACTCCCAAAATTGTTACCCAGCAGCTTCACCACAGCTAATGCAATCATACATGATCACTCGATAACTATTAAAATCTCTACTGGGACTAGTCGAATCCGGTTGGAAATTTGTGGATAACGGGTGCTCTAGGCATTTATCACCCCGGACTCTGATGTTAAGCTATTTATCATAAATCTGGGGTTCGTTCAGCTTAACCACCGTGCGTCCATATTGGGCTTCAACAATAGCCGGATAAGGATTGCTCACTGAAGACTGCCGGGTATAAACTTATCTCCGGTTATCAATCACATAATCCAGATTCGACTCATCTGATAAGCCAAAATATTCACCACCACAACGAACAGTAGTTACGGCGAGGTTAGCTACCTTCAAATGAGAGATCTCCGGGTTTACGGATCTTATTATACCAGAGGGTCATTCGATTCACGCATCGTTTTCGGGATTGCGCAGCTATGCGAACTACAAGGGACCACCACATTACAAAAGCGATGGCATAGCTGAAAGCTGTTGTAAATTGAGAATAAATACTATACTACGTACCACGGTCCATAGGGCCACTCAGGCATGAGCTCAAGTCGCTAGGCCCGTGCCATAGGAACTGATCCCGTAGAGACCTATTAGGTGAATGTAGTCACCTTGAGATTTCAAGTTGAAACATAGGGGGTCTTAATTAGGTTCAATACCTTTTAAATTTTATAAATGGATAATAACTAGGGACTAGAAGTTATATTATATCAATTTAATGGAACCATCTGAAGCTTATCCCGGGATTCTTTCTTCGCACATATCGTAATTTAAAAATGAACGCATTCCTGATGATGTAAGAGTCGATACGATCTATAAGGCTTCGTCGGAGGCGTGTCATGGTATACGAGGCGGACCTTCTTGCATAAAGTATACGTACGTAGCGCTATAGCCTCACCCGAGTATCTGCTGCGTTGCCGTGTTTGAGCATAGTGATACAGGTGATTCCCTACGAGTTAGATCCATCCTGGGTCCTGAACCTCGCATGTGATTCTTTCCACATGTAACTACATGTAGGGCTTCACAGCCGACAGGAGGCCGTGTGAAAACCCTGGCCGAAAGAGAGAACTTTCTGTGGCAGTGGGGTGGGGGGGTGGGTTGCCCTGTGCTTCATGATTATGACCCACAAGGTGAGGCGTTAGTTACACGCATAATGCAACGCTATGTATCTCCATGTGAGGTTCATTTAGTACCGATTTTGTTTACTGATCTACTATATGGGCGGGTATTGCCTCCTATTCTCATGGTCCTAATAGGACAGTCAAATATCGCAAGGTTGATGAATAGATATGTACGTTTTCAGCGAAAAGTTGAACTTCGAACAAAGCTTTATGACTATCTGCACCCCTGGGTCTATCAATCGAGAGGGTAATGATAATATTAGCAAGATTCTGGGCTCAGTAGTACTACTGCCAACAGACGGTGATGGCCGGAAGCGAAGTGAAGATTGATGGCGACTATAGTTAGATTCAATTAATATGTAGATGCATATACGTGCCGTTAGTTAGCCACGTACACCGCAGAATAATCCGTGATTCAAGGCTTTCCACAAGATCCAGGAATTAGAAAGAGAAAAAAGTGGAGGAAAAATAAAAAGAACCGCTTGTGGGGACTCTTCCGGGAACTTCTTGGAAAATACGGGTTCATCCGTACGCGTGTATTCACAGAGAGGGGGCATATACGTAGCGTTCTTGTATGCCTGGCCGGAGGCTTGGGCCACAGAATACGCTCTACATCTGAAGCGAACCAATTCCCCTAGCCATAACCAAATAAGCATTTCTAGGTGTATGAATGGACTGAGTACTAACAGTTGCTCTGGATCATGACTAGAAGATGGTTCAACACTCCTGGGGAAGTCCCGCCGCGAATACGCTTGGTTTCGAGGCGACGCAAGCCCTTTAGACATAGCACCTCGGCCTCGTGGACCACACACAGTGGTCCCAACGACCACTGTTTTCGTTACCATCGCAGCACTACGCAGCTACATAGCACATTTAGGAAGACACCGTGACCGTAGGGACAATCTCTACTGCTATGATCAGAAGAGCATCGCACAGGATTCTCCTCCGCATTACCAACTGAATCTTCAAATCGATATCCAGGTGTCGACATCTCCCCGTCAAAGGGTCCCCTACAGCGAGCACAAAGCACGGCAGAAATATTTACACCCATTTTCCATCCGGGGTTCAAGGCATGATGTCTTTTACCTAGCCAAGCACCGATGAAAGTCTACAATTAATCGTGTTGGAGGCTTTTGAACGCGGAGTTTCAAAGCTAACAAAATCCTAGCGTTCAGCAGTCAATACTGGGGCAACTAAATACTCACCCTACAGTGTGGTACCTGTTGAAAGGACAGGCATCTCCAAGAACTAACCTGTCCTGGGATTCTGCATCAAAGTGTTTCTACACGCGCAATAAGAACCAGACGCCGCCATACTCATACAACGATCAAAAATGTGTCCCTACTAAAACAAGGAAGGAAGAGAATAAAATTCAATACAAAAGAATCCACAAAGAAGTTAAAAGGGAATCTCAATGAAATTCGAGGTCCTAAATTCCGTGGGATAACGGCGGGTGCTAAGAACGAAGAAAAGGAGTCTGAAGCCTCACAGATACAGAAACATGAACTGAGAATGGAAATCCGATAATAAGTAAAAAAAGATACAGAAAAATGTGACCCCCCCCCCCTTAGCCGTTTCCCAAATACAGACGAACCGATAACAACAAATGAAACTGCAAGTCCAACAATGCAATAAAAGCGGTCGATTTCCTCTCTTTCTACGTCTGCCAATGTTACGCAGACGCGGGAAGTTTGCCAGAATTTGTGGTAGTAAACTGAAAGGCAGAAAATAAAGCAACAGGAATGAGATGATGATGGGTGCGCGCGGATTGTGGATAAAAATGAATAAACGAAAAGAATAGGTAGTGCGTTGTTTACTGCCGAGAAAGAGAAGGAATCGCGAAAAACCATACAGAAAAAGAAACGAGAAACGAGAAACAGAACAGAAGAGAATACATAAAAACGACGCCCCCCAAAGTGACTTCAGTTATACCCTCATGGAAAACCAATTCCTTCTTTTTTTTTTTGTTTTACTGCCGTTTTTTCCACGTAAGTTTACCCACCTTCCGTTACACATGGGATTGTCGTTCCTCCCTTATTCTAAACGTGCTCATGGCTTTCGTGATGATGACTGTTGTCCGAAATCTGGCGGTGGTGGTTTAACTATTTCTTTTCTTGGGGGCTTTACTGTAAATTCGGCTTGCAAAAGAATATGACTAAATTTTGATACTCCTATTAGCAATCCGCGGACCATTGTATCAATCCAACCGGAGGAATATACTTACTCGCTAGGGAAGTGAACATTCGGGAACCCTGGTACCCTCGCCAAATACTCTATATCTACATCCCCCATCAACCCGGACACATTTAGATTGTTCATTGTATACCAGATGTAATCAATAACCCCCGTAAAACCTGGCGTATAATTTGTAAACTTCAACTCTCCAATGTTTGAGTAACTGCTCTTCAACGAGAACGGATGGCTCATTCCGTCCCGCGTAAAGTTTCCATAAACTCTATCCTTCAAGTCATCGTGGTCGCTCGCCACAACACCCCGGGACAACAGCTCGTAAACGCCAGAATCAGCAATCGAATTGAAATCACCACAGATTATCAATGGTATCGCAGCGCCGGTTGCATAAGTGGGCGCCGGCACATCATCAGCCAATTCACTTTTGTTAATCCCTGTTTTGTTGGAGGAGCGCGGCATTTTGGCCCATTTATCGGCGTATTTACTGAGCTCTTCCATAAGCATTGCAACTTGGACGAGCTTGACGTCGCGAAACTGGGGGTCCCAGAATATGTGCACGTTTGCAACTATCATCCGAGAGCCAGTTTGCTTGTTTTCAAGGAATGAAATAACGGCGATATTGTCCTTAGGCATTACACGATTGTAAATGTCGGCAGTTTTCTTCATGTCTTCGCGCTGAATTGCCGAGGAGCTAAAGTCAATAACCTGTTTGTCTAGTAGCATAAATCTACCACAGCAAAAAAATTATCAGCAATTGCCCACGCACATATCTTTACGAGCTCTGGGTAATACGGACTTGGTGCTCTTAAAGAACGTCGCACACCCATCTACTGACTTCTTCTCATGCTCGTTCATGGTCTTTGCTCGACTCTTGGGATAGAAAACGCCCTTGTATTCCGCTATGGCCAACTCAGGCATAAAGTACTCGGAGTAATTCTCCCAGTCAACCTCTTGTAGACAGATTATATCTGCCTTTGAGTCTAACAGTTGATCTTTAATCATTCCCTTGCGGTAATCCCAAGCCACCACCCATGACGGTGCGTAGCCGTACATTTGTGGAGTCGCATATTTCTCACAGAGAATATTGTAACACAGAACCTGGAACTTGTCTGCTTGCGCCTTTGCATCGTTTTTGCCAGTATCATCAAGTACAATCCAATCTCGCTCGGCGGGAGGCATAGAAACTAGGAATAATTAGTAAGAGGGATCAACTTCAAGAGGCTTAGAGATTACTCCAAAGGTATTTTTCATACTTGGCATTGATTCTCTAAGATTTATAATTACTGCTCGGGTTCCGTCTTTGATCATCGTTTGCTTGATCGCCTCTGACATCGGATTCCCCTCGATACCTAGTACATCCAGCTGATATAATGATCCAAGCTCATAAGGCAAGTTGGTGAGTTGATTGTCGAAAACGAACAAGCTTTTCAAGTTGGTAAGCATGCCAAGCTCAGGTGGCAGCTCGGTCAATTGGTTTCCTGAAGCATCCAAAAGCTGCAATAGTTTTAAGCGCCCAATCGCAGATGGTAGTTCAGTAAGCTTATTATGGTTGATATAAAGCTTGTCCAAAAAGGTGTACTGAAAGAGCGCATTTGAGAGTGCGCGTAAACCCTGTCCACCTAAATCTAATGCCTTCCAATCTTGCCGTTCAATCTCACCATTTTCACCTTTTCTATTTTCTAAGATATCCGCAGGGGGCCCGTCCTTTCGATGCTGTCCGTTTACGGGTTGGTAGGAACTTGGATTCACACCACCGGTCACTTGAGCACTTGAAACCTTATTCAAGAGAGCAACCTGGCGGGCGTGGTGATGGGGAGCACTGGATGCGCGAGAAACCGAAACGAGGTTTTGCTGTTCCTGCCAATGTTGGGAAGTGTTTGGAAGGTTGTTTTGTGTACCATTCGAAACATGTTGGGGAGAGGAGTATGCTGGGTTCCCCATCCCTCCGGAAGAGTATGAATGCGAGTGTCCCCCTGCCATGGAGTTGTTACCCGCATTGTTCTGTACATGGTTTACTGAGTGGTCCACCTGTTGGTTATGGCCCATTGGGAAGAATTTGGCCATGTTCTGTTGTTGTGGCATGTAATTACGCTGGGTCTGTGCGTTTAGCATTGTGTGGGCTGCGTGGGGATGAGTTTGCTGGCTAGAGTGGTAAATATACCCCCCTGGAGACTGAGGGGCGGGGGATCGTGTAGGGGAGGGCGTTTGAGGGGGCGTTCCTCGTCGAAGTCGTTGTTGTGTATAGGTGTAAGGCCCTTGCTGCTGGTATTGAGTATAACCATCTGCCATTCGGGTAGCGGTCGACAGCGTAAGCAGTCAGAGCTAGCAATCGCGCAGGCGTGGTTCTGTTTGTCTTAGGCGATCGAGGTGCCTGGTAGATCTCCCGTTCACGTTCAGGGTCTGTGGTTTTGTTTGTAATCGTAACCGTCGTAGGGACATTTAGAGGTGGTACCTCCTACACTCCCGGAGCGACCTTCGCTAGAACCTGACTAACGTCTAGAGAGTCCTAGGCTAAGAGATATCAATAGACGTGGGGTTTATTTATGAGCAAGCCTAAAGAGGAATTTGAAATCTTTCAGGTTTATTTTGGTGAAGGTCGCCGTAGTAATTATAGGTAGATGGAACTTGGTAGAGATCTATGGAGGGGTGACTTGTTCAAGGGCTTGACTCTTCGTTGTCAACTAATGGAGGTAAAATCAGAAAAAATGATCTCTGACAAGCTGGTATGAATATTTAAGATGCTAGAAAAGGTAGTATTGGTATCATGGGAAGATAAAACAACTCCTATTGACAAAGGTCTAGGGCGACAGTGGTGAATGCTATGTGCCACAGGGGGTGTTGTGGAGGGGTGATGAGTATATGATGGGAAGGGAGGGGACAATGACAAAATACCGGAAAGCAATGGGAAACCGTCACGAGGATATCGAAATAACTCGGTAATAAGACAAGCTCAGGATTCTCGAGATGCAGAAGGTGTTGTAGCAGTCAGTGGGGCGTTGGTAGGTAATGAATCTTGGTGGTGAAAAGAGAGTATGTAGGTGTTGATTTAGACAATAGGCTTGTTGTTGTCCTTTGGGGGTTCTAAGCGTCTCTTCAGTGTCTCAGCTACAAAACCCTTGCCGGTCCAGAAGATGCCCCGCAACACACAAGTATTCTACACAAGGCTCATCCACCAAGCTTTACAACTTCTCCATCTCATTTTATACTCTGCTTACAGTACTTCGTGCATACTGGCCAATCCATTATATGTAGTGTTTGACTCAAAGCACAAGATCCTGGACACATTCTATGAGGGGGGGGGACCTAAATAATTGCCAGCACCTGCGCATAAAGAAAACCCAATAAAAGTCTATCTTTCAAGCTGTGTTTTCAGTTAAAACTACCTGTAGCGCGTGGTATTGCATGATCTGTCGATCTCTGGGTGCATAACAATATGTGAGTGACTGATTTGTTGATTTCCCGATGCTCCAAAGTACACTTCCGGGCCTACATAGGTAATTAAGTAGTAGGTGAGTAGACATACGGATAATGCAGGCACATAGGTACGCTAGAGGTAGAGTACTCCGTCTACATACATGCACTCAATAAGGGCCGACTCCGGTTTTCTGGGTTTGTGAAACATGCAATTGTCAAGGAAGCGCATTTGTTTCTACTAAGTGCGATGCGTCGTCGATTCTCCCGAGATTCAGATCGTGAACCTAAATTTTAAAGTTTATTTCGACTTCAATATAATGGCCCTGGCTAGACCTTGAAATAAACTCCTTAGATCTACAATTTTTCGAATACATGCAGATACTCTGTAAGGCCAATCTATGTTCGTGGGATGAAGAGTATAACCGAAAGGCCCAAATGTGAATTTTGGACAAGCTTTATTCTGGGTATGGGTGGAATGGCTGAGCTTAAAAGGTTCAAATATTGATTTCTTAAGTCGACTACATGCACAGCACGGCGAGCATTCCCAAATTTATTATTTTATGAGGATTTCTAGCTATAACTCCGAAGCCCCAATGCAATAATACGAAAACTTGATGTACCTACTGTCCGGTATCATATCCAGATACTCCAGAGAAACGTAGCCTATCAGCATGGTGAGGTTGAGAACTCCTATTGAGTAGCGGCGCCGTATGCCTGGTTCATTGCTCTATATTTCTTCACATAGTACCTGTAGGCACGAATGTAGCGGTCAGTTTCCGGGTTTCACAAGAGGAGTTCAGCCTAAAATTCATACAGAGCTTCGATCTCTAAGCGCCGCATTCGTGTTAACGTCGAATGTTTACCACAAAGCTAGCCAATCGGTCCAAAGGCTCAAAACAAACCTTTTTTGACGTATTCAGCTCTTTTGATCCCTTCCTTAATTTTCTCTGGGTCTGTTAAACCAGCATTACTCATAAAGGCGTTATGGCAGCGTGGTCGGAAGTAATCGTAGCCCAGAGGGTACTCCCGGCCAAGATAGAGCTGGGAATGTTTCTTTGCGTCAGATCAAGTAGGATTCTTCTGAGAATCGGCTTTAGACGACGAACATACGAGGTTTTTGTATATCTGCCTCACTTCATAGCGTAGGGCGTTTGTAGAGGCCATAGTTGCAGTGGTTTGTTCGTGAACGAGTGTTCAGGACCTGCGGCTATGGTGTGAATGTGATTTGAAGCACCATGACGTTGTTTGGCGTACATATTGTGGGGTAAGCGTGGTCTACCGAGGCATGGTGGGATCCCGGGTTCACGGAGCCGAACAGTTATCTACCCAGGGATGAACGTACGTTCTTTTATGTGCCATACCGTTCAAATATGCTTTGTCCAGGGCTCCTCTCCCACCGTCTGTCTCCAGCGGTGAAAACACAGATTAGTATTCGTACTCTTGCAACCGCCTCTCGAGCACCTTCAGAAAACCATGGGCGCTGGCTCTCCGACACCAAGAGACGACTTGGTAAGCTTTTTCTACATGGGACAACCGCCGAAGAGACGAGAGAAGCAAGCGATATCCTGAAGGATTTAACCAAGAACTGGAGGGACTACGTCGCTGCCAGCGAAGGGTTTTTGACGGGAGAAACAAGGAGAGGACTTTACAGACACAACGTCGTTTGGGGCGATATGGTACTGCGAATCTTCTGGAAACCTTTTGAAGGAAGCTCGAGGCTAATGTTCATATTATATGAATCAGGACTCAATGGTAATACCATCGCTCGACTAGAATATAACAAACATACAGATGGCTGATCTATCTTAGGGTATCTTATACTTTACCTCAATAATCAACTACAAAAGAGTTTTCCAAAACTAACTTAGAGCCTTTCCTATTATTCCAGCACATGTGAACAATGTTACCTATGCTCGCTGGGCTGAAGCCTCACGGATTAACTGGGCCTGGAATATTGCAAAGCATCATGATCCACAAAACCTGAAGCCTTGGTCACAATTGTGGACTCCGAAGGGTTTGGGTCTAATTCTAAAGAGCATCAGGGTGGACTATAAGTTTGTGCGTGATATTCTTTTGCATGGGCAAATTTCAGAAAGCTGATGTCTACTTTGAACTCATTAGCCAGTGGAGTGGCCGGACAAAGTCACAGTCTATCACAAGCTCGGGGATGTCTCAACGACTTCATTTACCCTTGATGTTATTAGTGAGTCACTCGCCATTAATATCGTTCTTTATCCTTAGTATTTAACCATCGAGCAATTAGTACTATCCGAGAAGCATCAACGTCCCGCCGCAAGATGCCACGAAGACATTGTTGTATACAACTACCAGCCCGCGGACAAGACTCAATTACCTGGAAAGGCACATATACCGGATTTTATGGAAGCACAGTTTGACGAAACTTTGAGATTGCAGAAGGAGGCCAAGGAAGATGCATTGGAGAATATAAGGGATATAAGTAAGAGAGTTGAGGGGCTAGAGATGAGGGTTTTAGGTAGGCAAGAGATGACTTAATTAGGTCATGGTACCGCTTCCCCTCCCCCTCCCCAACCCCCAATCCCTGTAGATACTTGTGAGGTAGGCTTGAGGCCGATTAATTGGGATCAACCGAAGTTTGCTATACCACATATATATACACGTTTCTCTTTTTATGCCATGTATGCGGATGTCCATGTTCTATGGCCTCGTGTCCATATTCTACGACCACACGGGGTTGGAAATCTTCGTTGCATGCATGTAATTATCGGGTATTTTCGTACTTGGAAGCTTAAGCCAGCCATGGGAAATTATGGCTGTAGTGAAGGCAGTTATCTATGTCTCAAACCAAATCGATAACGATTATTCGCGATTTGAGACAATGCATGGAATGCGTACCGCGGTACCGAGTGAGAGCTTTGTCTAAAATGCTTCAGGGCTAAGCACACGGACATAAATTAGAAATGCTTACTATAGAGTACTAGCAGTGAGCTTGAGCCTGTTATTGTTCCGTTGGACAAGGCGCCAAGGATTAGTAATTAATTGAGTTTAAGAAGGTACATCGCCCAGCAATATCATGCAATTGGAATATTGAGCTTCGATACTGAAAAATTACCTATAACAGAACGTGACACCCCTCCCAGCAAATTAAATGCCACTCCACTACTAGTAACATATCAATATCAAAGTCTCCTGATTCCTTGTGGAACAGTCACTGAGCTGGTAATTATACTCATAGTATAAGTAAATATTATATCTACATTTGATAAGTTCAGGCTTGGAGGAGCATGTGCAGCCAGTAATATATCTGTAGCTAAGGACACAAAAGCTCGTGTGGCTCGGCAGCAAGGATCATGATCACAGGCCATTCCCGCATGCAACACCACTACCTCTCCATCGACCTCGACCCCCCTTTGAACGCTATTCCACTCTCTTGGTCATCGATTGCAGCAGTTTACCATGGCCCGTCGAATAGTTCGCACCATTATACAGGTGGTTTGCCTGTCAATTGTCCTCGCAGCAGCTGTGTTCTTCCTAGACCTCCGTTATCGTGTGCTACCCCCTCGACTCCATCACTTTCTTCCTGAACACCATGCAGGCACCGTAGTTACAGACATCACCTTCCTCTCGTGTACCAATTTCTTCTCGGAATGTATAATGGATACGAAGGAGGGATGGACCCGGATAAACAAGGACGTCTACTTGGGAGAAACTTGGATCAGCCAGGGCTTCATCCACATCAAGCGTAAGAAGGAGGAGGAACTCGACAAAGTTGCAGGGGAAAAACTGGTTGTCGATATCAGGGTTGGAAGATTGGAACCCCCTGCGGAGGATGGAATTAAATGGGAATCAAGGCCTGGAGGCATTTGGATTAGACGCCAGACGAAGATCGTTGACGATGCAGTTACGGCGGTGGATGTGCTATTTGGAGCCGATGCGGTGGAAGTTAGACCTGGGTGGGTGATGCGGGAAGGGAGCTTAACTTCAGGTGAAAACGCTAGAATCACAATAAGGAAAGGGCCACCTCTAGAGTTTAAGAAACCGGTTTTAAGGCTGAAGGACCATAAGTTCAAAATCATTCAGATTTCGGGTGAGCCACTCTTCTGTCGCTATGCTGTTCCTGTCCGAAAATTATCGGGTACACGCTTGGGATTTCTAATTCCTTTCAAAAAATAGATCTCCATCTTTCTACTGGTGTCGGTGCATGTCGTGACGCAGAGCCTCCTTCAACTGCAGCTGGCTGCGAAGCTGACCCCCGAACTCTTGACTTCATTACTAGAATCTTGGATGAAGAGAAGCCAGATTTTGCCGTATTGTCAGGTGATCAGGTCAATGGCGATACAGCTCCCGATGCTCAATCCGCAATTTTCAAGTTTGCTGAGCCATTCGTGAAACGGAAAATACCCTATGCTACCATCTTGGGAAATCATGACGACGAGGGCAATCTCAATAGGGAACAGATTATGAAACTTACCTCAACACTACCATACTCACTTAGTGAGGTGGGCCCGGAATTGGGAGGGATTGTGAAGGATAGGCAAGGGCGTGAGGGTAGAGAAGGTGGAGTCGGTAACTACTACGTCGAGGTTAAAACGCAGAAGTATAACCACCCATTGCCATTTATATAGTTGGAAAAATCGTTATGTGATTAGGTACTGACACTTTGGCTACTAGGGGCGACCACTCTGCTCTCACCATATATTTCCTCGATACCCACTCCTACAGCCCCGACGAGAAGAACCATAGGGGTTATGACTGGATCAAGGACACCCAGATTGAGTGGTTCAAGAAGACACATGCATCTATCAAGGATCACTCTAACGGCTACTCTTTTGTACATCTCGATATGGCTTTCATCCACATCCCATTACCCGAATACCGTACCGCTGGAGCGCCCTATGTCGGTGAATACCGCGAGCCTCCCACAGCTCCGGGATTCAACAGCGGATTTAAAGATGTGCTCGTCAATGCTGGTATTAGTGTTGTTAGCGCTGGGCACGACCATGCAAATGAATATTGCATGCTGGACAGGAATGGCGAACAGCTTAATTTGTGGATGTGCTATGCGGGGGGTAGTGGCTTTGGAGGATATGGCGGATGGGGTGGATACCACCGCAGGGTTAGACTGTTTGAGATCGATTCACCAGCAGATAGAATCACGACGTGGAAGAGGGTTGAGTATGGGAATACGGAAAAGAGGATTGATGAGCAAATCATTGTGGAGGGGGGTAAAGTTGTCCACAACCCGTAAGGTAATCCCATGGCAATAGGGACTACTATTTCTGAGTTTATCGGATACCTCGTTTCTTAATTCATTATTTGTTTCGTATATTGATGGCTGAGAGCATGAATGTGTCGAGGAAAAGGACGTCACAAATGCATTGTTTTTCTTTCTTTCTCTTTTTTTTCTTCTCTATTCCCGGTGGTACTGGCGTCGGCATCATTTTCGTTTTCTCCATTTGTCTTGTTTCACCGGATCGGAAAGGCTAGGTTTTTTTTTCTTGTGTCTTTTACCTCAATTGCAAAGGGAAGGAAAGGGCGTTTTTTTGTGCTTTTACATATCTCCCTGGCAGTACCGCTATTGGATTGGGTGATGTTTGAGAGGAGATTGGTTTCGATTAATCTATGCAATTGCGAAAACGCTCGTCTAGATGTGTCACAGGGCAAGCTCCAGCACAATCCCGACAGTTACATGTAATTATCGCAGTGTCGAGAGCTCAGCCAATTGAAGGCGAGGATCAAATATTACCCGGATTGTTCCATGTCAGTGATATTGCCAACGCCCGCTGAGGAAATGCTACAATAGCCGCATCTCCATGTGACAATGCAGTGTTACAGAACTACGCTGTCGTCGATCATGCACAAATACTGGTGATCGCTGCTAGCTGTTGCTAGCTGGTATGACACTTGCAACCTCACTTTGATGAGGGGCAAGCTGACATGCGGGGGGAAGATACCGTCTTAAGAATTAAGGTTTTGAGATATGTCTGACAAGAACGGCCAACAACAGTCTTACAACACCGGCACGTACCGAGGGAGTGTTGGGGGAGGGAAGTTATGGGTTATAGGTTATAAGTTGTGGAGTGGGGTGGTGAATGCCAAGTCGAGTGACAACCCATGACCGCCAATCACCACACCCAGTTCCAGCTCTAGCTCCTCACTGTAACGGGATATCGCATCAGTCCTCCCATATCAGAACCAAAACTCTCTCCCTTCCCTGGTCCATAACCAACACCCCAATTCTTGCCCCCTTCCCTCACAGGCAAAAGCCGGAACTCGGCAAGACCCATTCTCCCCAGCTATATGAACGTGTACGACCAATATCTATATCTCTACTCGCTATCGCTGCCACGAAATGACGCGTCCACGAGAGCAGCGCCGTGACACTCACACCATACATAGGACGGTTACTACATGTATATAGCAAGGCAAGCCAGACAGGTGCAGAGAACAAGTACCGTCCCACTGAGCAGCAGCATTGAATACAGTCCTCTAATTTCACACGGTACGGTATAAACCTACTTGGAGATACGGATGCATGTTCACATCCAGCTCTACCCCGCGCAGCAGAAGAAACGGCTATGCTATTTTGCGTGCAATTGGGGGAGGGGGGGGGGGGGGGTAATTTCACGTTGCAGGATTATTCGTATACGTATAATAGATAAACAGCTGCATGTACATATTTCCTACCCCTACCCTACCCACGCGAGCACATTACGTGACGCTGCACATTGCGTAGGAAATTGCGGCGTAGCTTTTTTGCTTATTTTTGGAGGAGGGTGCTTTCTCGATCTCAATCTTATCTGCACGCTTGTTTTTAATTCCCGCTGTGCGCGTGCGTGCGAGGGCCGAGGTTATTGTTCCGTTAGTGCAGGCAGCCTGCGCTATATAACTAAACCACCGAGTGACATCCTATGATCCACCGCGAAACAACAAAAAAAACGAGAATAAAAAAAAGGATGAAAAATCAATTATCCCCATAATACCTCACCAGCCTCACCACCATCTCTCCATAAACACCCTCTCCCTCCCCAGCCCCGTCCGCGCCACCACCCCCTCCACAAACGTCTCTGTAAACGGCGGCGGCCCGCACACATACACCACCGTCTCCTCCCCGGGGCCAAGCTCCACCACCGCCTTTACATCGTCTACCGTCATCCTGCGCGCCTCATGCGGCCACTTGACCTCCTCCGCCGCGGGCACGGCTTCATCCGTACCGGCCGCCTCATCATTGTCGCCGGTGAGAAAGAGTTTAAAGCTCTGCTCATCAAGCGCTGATAAAACGCCCATGTATGCCTCGGGCACGGGCGCTTTCGTGCTCCACAGGAACGAGACCTCGAGGTCCTTTTCGCTCTCCTGTATATAGCGCAGCATCGACAACAGCGGACTTTCCCGTCACGTCACGTCAACTTCTTCTCCTACAACAATACCCAATGCTACAACGAACCAAAACGGGGTAGAGGGGGGAATGACACACTTTACGCCCACCCCCGCCGCCACAAACACCACATGCCCGATGCCCCCAGCAACGCCGCTGTCCTCCGGAGGCGGGAACGTAAAGCTGCCGCCAGCCCTAACTTTCACCTCTTTACCCTCGATGAGGGGCTCGTGCTGCCATAGCCAGGCGGCGGGCGGGTTGTGGGGTGCGGCTTGGATGGCGAGTTGTAGGTCGGGGAGGAGAGAGGGGGGCGAGATGATTGTGAAGCCGCCTGGGGAGGGGGCGGCGGGGGTGGGGACGTGGACGTCGAGCCATTGGCCGGGTTTGAACTGTGAGGTGAGTCAATGATTGGTGAGAAAAAAGGGGGGGGGGGGGGCGGTGGGTAGGTGAGACGGGGACTAACGGTGAAGTGCGGGGTGGTGAGTGTTAGTGTAAATAGACGCAGCGTGGGCGTGGAGCGGGCAATGTGTGTGATTCGGGCCGTGTGCAGTGTCTGTACATCTCATCCGATGATCGATCAGCACTTGAGGCAGCGAAGAAGAAAAGAAAGAACGGGATGTCGTGCATTATCCCGTGGCTGCGCGGCCGTGCGCTCGGCGTGGGAGCGGTAGGCGGGCGAGCCTGCGGAGGTGGACATTCGACGCAGGTACCGTCGCAGCATTGCGCGCGGGTGGAGTTTAGTTAATTCTGTCTTGACCTGTAGAATAGCTAGCTTAAGCTTTGGTGTTGAGGTTCCTCACGATATGACGTTCGTTGTTGCTACATGCTCTCATACAGTACATCTTAGATACATGTAGCTATTAGATCATCGTTCTGCATATCTCTCTGTCTCTCGTAGATCCCTTCCTTCCTTCCTTCATTCCTCTCCAATCTGCATCGGTCTTTAGCTAGAGTAGACGTTGATCAATAGCCTCCACCCAAACCAACAATCTTATCAGATAACGACGTTATCCCCAGCTAGCTAGCTGCTCTGCTCCACTGGCGACTGGTGCTACAATTGTTTCCAATGCAGCTGCCCACTCACTAGCTAGAGCCTAGCACCCTACATGTAGGTACATGTATCCAATCCAATCCAATCCAATCCAAAGCTAGCACGGCATCAAGCATCATCCTCACAGCAAAAACAAAACGAAACCGATAAACAGTAGAAACCAGTATTTATAGTGCCACCAGCTCTCCCAAAACCACGGAATCACCCCCTCCTGGGCCCTTGCATGAGTTGCACAGGTTTACTCAACACGAAACCGTGAATCCCCCCGGCCCATCCAAGGTCCAGTCCAGACCACTCGCACTGGAGCAGAGTACCTGGTAGACTATGTCGCCTCCCTCCATGAACCAGGGGGTGCGTTCCCAGGGGTGTATCTGGTTCCAGATATACGCGAGCGAGCGAGCCACCTACCTAGCTGGCTGTTCGCTAATAAATACCTTCAGCTCGTGCACAGCGAGGAAATGACAGGATTTCCCGCGCCCCCAATCCCGGCCCGATCAAGCAGCGAGTAGAGTAGAGTAGAGAGTATTGGTATTGTATGTAGATTGCAGATTTGCAGATTGTAGATTACAGCAAGACAGAACACGCGCGCGCACCCAATCTATAGAGATTGATAGGGTCGCCGCTTGGAAATGGGCGCCGCGCTAACTAGCTGTATGCGTCTACCTGTCTGTCTATCTATCTGCGCAGCTGCCTAGGTATTTCAAATGTAGGCACATAGAGTACCTACTATCTATCCGCCGGTTTACAGTTCGTTTAATCTCCCCTTCAGCCAGCCTCATGCTCCTCTCTCTATCCACTCCCCCCCCCCCCCCTCCTCTCGATCCTCTCGATTCTCCTCTTCCTCTGCACTCCGACAAAAACACAACCCCCCCCCTTTACACCTTAATAATATGTTACATCGCACCCGAAAAAGTATAATAAAACGAAACACACATACACAGGAGAAACACCCCCTCCCTTAACTAGCTCTTTAAAACAGGATTCAGCAGACCCTGACCCCACCAGCCACCAAAACCCAAAAACCCGGTTAACCCAATTGAGAAAAAGAAATAAAGTGCAGAAATAAAAGACCAACCGGAAAGAAAGAAGGAAAGAAAGAAAGAAAAAGAAACCCAAAAATGAACGCTCTCGTGAAAAGAAGGGGATATGGAACAAAAGAGAGGCATCACAAACCCACCCTCAAGGAGAAATGGTAAAAATAAATTGTGGGGGGGTGGTAATGGAGGGGTCGCCTCCAAATGGAACGAAGGAAAGAGGAGCAGGGAATATTAAAAAGAATATAATAAAATTAGAGAAGTAATGTCCAAAAAAAAAATGGCGACCGCCCTTATGTATAGAAGAATACAATAAAAACTGAAATTTCCAATAAACTCGTTTCGAAGTATATTATCAAGCCGTGAGACTGGAGGATCAACAAAAATGACTTTTTTTTACTAGACTATCAGACCGATTACCACCAGGAGCGTTGACAGGAGCATCAGCGGCGCCGGAGAGAACGTGCTACGGCCCGAGTTCGACATCTGGAACTGGACGGTTGTGTTGGAGAAGTCAGGTCCACAACCTAAGCATATCTGTTAGTACATATGATTGATAGGGGAAAGTACAATGAGAGGGAAACATACCCATATTGATCTGCTGGGTCGCCGAGGTGTATGTATCATACAGCGGCTGGCTCGAATTCCCAGCAAAGGCCGAGTATATCCTCAGGGTGTTGGACAAGCAGTCGGAGCAACTACTAGAAGAATTAGCATAACCCGAAAATCCACAGGTCTATGGGCAGCTTACGTAGGTCTCGCACCTCCCGGGAAGTTCTGTCCCAGCGGGAGATAGTAGACGTACGAGTCACTTGGACTGGTGACGTTCATCAGGGCATCCACATAGCCTACATACCACCCAAGAGTTAGCAAAAAGTGATTCGAGTGCGATCACATGAAGAACATCAAAATATGTACTAACAGTAAGACCCCGAGTCCGACTTCAAGCACCCTGCCAAATACACCGCCTTGTATGCGATGAAGGCAGCACGTGCCTGCTGTACCACCGGGTTCCCTAGCTGCAGGTCTGCGCCGCAGTTCTCCTCGAGCCCAATCTGCCACCCTAGCTTCTCCATAACAAGCTGACAGGTGGGGACGTCTACGTTGCAGGTCTGGTCCACGACCTGGGTGGTTGCGAAGCCGCCCTCTTTGGTGATTTCAAAGTATGATTGCGAGCTCTGTTATAGTGGCCCCATTATAAGCTTGCTGTCTCTCGTAGGAAGGGAGGGGAGGTTTATGGGCGCACATACTAGGAGGAGGCCTGATAGAGGAAGACATTTCTGGAATTGCGGGTCGCTGAGAAACTTTGAGAAGAAGACCGGGCAGGTGGTGGTGGTGGAGTTGGAGGCGATGCTGACTGTGTCGAAGAGCGTTGGGGTCTCGATTGTGCCCACCGATGTCACAACTGTAGTTGTAGCCGCCGCTTCCTCAGAGCTCGTGGAAGTTGCACTTTCAGTAGTGGTAGCGGTTGCTGTAGTAGTAGCTTCACTGTCGGTGGGAGCAGCAACGGCAGAGCTAGTCATAAGTAGGACCATGAGAACGAGTGATAGAATAGTAAATTTGGCGTTATAGGATTGACGGAAATTGTTAAAAAACGAAAAGTAGTTCTTGCTGCCCTTAACCTCCGAGTGCCTTCTCCTCCTCCTTGCTCCCTCTACCTCTGCTTCCGTGCCTTCCTCCACTTCTTCTCCTATGCGCTCTTTTAACCGTAGCTTCATGCTCCATCTCTTGCTACCACCTTTGGCGCGGCGCTCTGGCGTTGTGGTGGTAGCACCGGTAACGTCGGGTTCGTTGATTCGCATGAATGAGGAAGAGGACTGACGAGGACGTATAGCCAACATTATAGTAATAGTCGTGGGTCGATATATAATATCAACTGCATGTCACTAAGGGCTAGGTTATTTCTAAAAATGAAGCAGGATAACAAAAGTGCCAGTCCCACGGTTTGGTTTCGAAGCGTTGCAAGTGAGCTGTGGTGATTGGGAAGAGCTGTAGCAGGACAAAGAAAGCAGATCCTTCCTGAAACTTACACTTGCTGCCAAGTAGTAAAAGTAGATAGGTATGGGATTTCTACGAAGGACGGGGGTTTGTAAGATGCCCTGGTCTCTTTTTCTGATTCGAGAAGGAGGCTTGTAACGTTCTCTTTTTTTCTCCAGGCTGGGAGTGACAGGTGAAATATATGAGTGAATGAGTGTGTGGGGGGTGAGGGGGATGACCGAAAAGGCTGAAAATGAGTGACGACCGTTCGACAAAGCGCGGTAATAATTCCCTTCTTTTTTTGCAGTTGCTGCTGGTAAAACGGTAAAAATGAGTGAACGTCTAAAAGCTGTGGTTGCACACTTAAGCACAAAGACAGGCAGGTAGACAGGGAAGGAGTGTCGATGTCGGGGTAAGCGACAAGGTGGAAGAGGAGCAAAATAGATCTCACTATCTTGATCTCGCGACTCTTGGGGACCGTCAATGTCAAAAGACAGAGGATGAGGGCCACATTATGAGGGCGTTCTCCCTCGCGGATTCCTAGACCTCGATCCACTAGAACCCCCCCTAACTAGCTAGAGGTGCCACAGCGGTACCCAATCTAGTAGGGCTGGCTGGCTTGCATTTGTTGCGCAAGACCCGTCAAGCGAGTCAAACACAGCATGCACTCTCTACCAGGAGTCTACCTACTCTTTACGATTTGGGGGCCATCAAAAGGCCGGCCGTTTGATGCCTACGGGTGGCTCCACATAGGAAAGTGGAATTATTCTTCCCTGCCCCATATCGGGAATTGCTCTCTCGACTTCATCTCCACTGCATGCGTGATGCATCTGGCTCAGGTCGGCACACCTCCCAATGAGTCCATTGAGGTCCTGGAGGGGGGTTATGGTTTGGGAGGGTTTGGGAGGGTTTGGGAGGGTTTGAGAGAGGGGGGAAGTGTAGCCTGTGAAAGTATGTAGTGAATAAGCAAACAGATACATAAACAGCTATCTAATTAATTATTTGCACGTCCTTGTGTGTGTGTACCCTTTCTGCACGAGTTGAGTGCCAATGCGCGTGCAGCCTTAACCGCTTGGAGAGACTGGCCAATGGCAGACACGCGGCGCTTCCCCAGATAGTTCAGGGCAGCTCCCGTTCGGGATTAGTTCAGGTACTGCCTCTGTGCCTGATTCCGACAGCTGCGATGGGGAGGGTGGTGGTCTGGTCCCTAACCCTCGCTCCGATCATCACTTCCAGAAGATCTGTGCGGTGTGCTGCCTGCCTCTCCATGGTCCATGGTTTATGGTCCGTACTTTACTTACACATGGGCAAGCAATTGGCGGTAGGATGTCCCGACGTTTCTTCTCTACCAAGTCCCCCCCTCTCCAGGTTCTCCTCTTCAGTTCTTTGTCTTGTTTGTAGTCTTGCAGAGTTTTCAAAGTCATGAGAAACCGTTCCTCCTTCTGTTAAAGGAACCGATCAGTGTCGATCAGCGCAAGTAATTACGGCAACGGTTGTACTCACTGGACTGTCACTAGCCATTTGGAGTCAAATCATACCAAAGACACCTAGGTTTTCAAGACTCCGGAGATTATGGAGAGATGTAGAGAGAGGGAAAGAGCTTTGGGATCGAAAACACCGTGCATAGTTGTCTCTAGATCCTCGAGGCTTGTGGGCCGA